GCTATCCAAGAGAGCCCCATTTCGGTACATCAGATAAATCCGTTAAAAACTTCAGGACGTCGTATTCTTGTTTAAGTAAGGAATATAGGACGAGTCTTTGAATGCGGGGTATTCGGGCTTTCAGGGTTGGAAAGTTCAGGCTTTTGGGTTTCCTCGTTCAGTCAGTGGAGCTGAGGGTTCAGGCTCTGCGGGGTGTATTGTAGGGGCCTTACGTAATCATTAGAATAAGGTTTGGGTTCCTTTATAGCTAGTATAATCATAATATATCTAAACCACGACAGTCTATGATTGGTGCAGCTAGTTCCCACGAGGATGCTGGCGAACTTTTTGCTGATTTTTCGCGTAAGTACGAAGTTTAAGTTGGCATGATGCCAAATCCCACCTTCCTCCGCGAACCCTAAACCCCTAGACCCCAACTCCCATGAACCCCAGCGCTTTGCATTCTAAGTTTTCGCCTCCAGTGATGTAGAAATCAAGACTGGCCACCACGGAACCTTCGCGATGTTCCCAGATACCCTTACTGAGGAATAGACCTTCTTGTATATACTTCTGATCATGCAGGATCCATCCCCTGAGCCTTAAATCAGAGATCCTAAACCCTTATAATTAAGCCTTAGCATCACCCTAAACCCTAAACCCTGAACCATGTATCACTTACTTGAGGTTGTATTGGGTTTTTTCTGGGTTCCTGCCGGTTAGCTTGAAATCCTCCCTGAAGCGCGCGGTTTACGTTCTTAGGCTCTGAAGTCTCTGAATGACGTGTAGATAGCGTGTAGGGGTTTAGGGTCTAGGGTTTAGGGGTTCAGGGTTTAGGGTTAGGGGTTCAGGGTTTAGGGTGCCGATCTTCTATCAAGTTTGGTTATGAAGAGTTTGGGCGGCTTGAGAAGGTGAGAAGCTAAACCGCAAAGCAAGCCCCAGACCCCGAGCCTGAACCCTAAACCCTCAAGCATAGCCCTAAACCTCCCAGACCTTCCAAGATTTTTTAATTAAGGAATATAACTTAAATCATATTAAGGATCCTACTCTAATTTAAGGTATATTCCTTAATTAATGGATTTTGGCAGGTCTGGGCTCAAACATCCCGAAACCCTACACCCGACTCAAGATCATCCTCCTCTACAACCTCTTCTTCGACTGGTCCTGGGCCACTCTCCGACTTGTCGACACTCTGCCTTCCTGGGCCCCCAAAAGGTTCCATGTACCCAAATAGGGTTCCTTTTACAGGGTGCCGTGAAGGGTCCTACAAGGGTGCCATAAGGGTTTGGGGTTTAAGGCTCCATGTACCTGATTAGGATATGCTTTGGCCTTACAAAATTCTAAATAAATGCTATGCTACATGGCGGCCAATGTACCTACTGGTTCGGCACATGGACCCTTTAGAGGGTGGTGGTTTCAGCGTGGATTCTCGGGTCTAGAATGCAGGGAGTTTAGGGAGGGAGTACTCAAACGATCAGGGGTTTTAGTGAGTAGGGTTATAAGTTGAGGCTGTACATGGAAGTTTTCCTGTTTATAAGCTGTAAGTGCTGGCGCCGCATGTAAGAAGATTCTCGAATTGATTCCTGTAGCGGCCCCTAAACCCTAAACCCACATGCCTGAAGAAACGTTGATATCCTCCTAGCACCGTAAATCACAGACCCCCATGCCCATGAACGCCGGGGAAGGCTTCCAGCTCACGCGTCAAGGAGCCGAGATAGGGGCTAGACAAATAGAAAATTAGAAGAGGATTTGTTTTATCACGGTTTATAGGTATGTTATCTAGTGCTAAGGAGACCGGAATATTATAAATTCGACTAGCTGATAAGTATGCTAAACCCAACGAGCACGAACCTCAACAAGCCCCGAGATTTGGTCCAGTCCGCAGTCCGCGAGATTTCTGCTCAACTGTGCTAGAAGCCTGAAGGTATTCTAGGGTCTTACGTCTTTGACTCTAACCATGTTCTTGATTTTCCGGGTGTTGAGCCTTACCGTCGAGAGTTTTGCCCTTCATCCAGTTGCCATCCTGTTTTGGGTAAGTCTCCCCGTATAGTATAGGTACTTAGTAACCCTAAAGCCTCAGCCTTTCAAGGAAGCCTAGACCCAAAGCCCCTTTGAAGGAGCCCATAGAGGTCTTAAGAACTTAAGACTCTTTGGGTCTCTAAGCGATTTTTCTGCTTCATGGGAAGTTTCCTTTCTGCTGCGGAAGACGCGGAAGTGGAGGCACCTCGCCGTTTCATCTGCGATTGTGTTTCTCACTTGTGGCTCTGGTGGTGCAACAGCTGATGATGATGATGATGGTGATGATCACAGTAGTTATTGGAGATAAAGACGGAGCTGAAGATGAAGAACGGTGCCGAACTACCATTGGGATGAAGACTGTGATCCATGATGGCTCACATGCTGGTTGTCAGTTGGATTGGTGGATGGATCGATGGATGCTTGAGTTTACTGCTTGAGGGCTTCGGATTTGGGTGTAGAATTCAGGAATTGGGTACTACATCATACGTACCAGTAGGTAGATCTCAATGCGTTGGCTGCGGCGACAAGCATCTCTCAACACCAAATTAACCAGCCAGCTGGAAGCTTTGATCAAACATAAGAAGACTACACCAAGGCCTCCAACAGTCTGCGAACACACTGAGACCCAAACCCTATAAGCCCTATAAGCCTTAAACCATCCCATACCATCCCTAACCCTAAACCCGAAAAAGAAAAGAGTCCAAACTTCAGAGCCTCAACCCTGGGCACTGGAGCCATACCCTACCTGCAGCCCCAAAGTATACTAAGTACTGGGTTCTAAGGGGCGTTCATCAAGTTACCATACTTTAGGGTTCTTTTTGGGTTCTATAAGGGCTTCGGGCTTAGGGCTTCAAGTTACCATAATAGGGATTTATAGTAAATAAGAGATTCGGCATGATGGTAACTTAAATTAAGTTCCTGAATAAGGACACCGAATGAGTGGTTACACCCCTGAAGAGTCGTCCCTTTTCAGCAAATGGGGGTCCACCAAAAGGCTTCTGAAGCCCTTAACCCGACAAATTCAATGCCCACCCTCTACCCTAAGCCCTACTCGTGCCTGTGCAAAGTATCCCTGAACCCTAATCCTACAGCCCTAAACCCCAAACCCTTTAAATGCTACAAGGCCAGAGTTGTTCCTGAAACGCCACAGGAGTCTGTGAGAAGTATCCCAAGCCCCATGGACACGTCGTCAGAGGCACCTCGCGCTGTTTGGTTGGGTTTGGGGTTAGGAAAGGTATGGAAGCAGGATTGTCCAAACACCATTACTTAGAGGATCATGGGACTTAGTAACTAGGCTTGTGCATGAAGCAACTATAGTTACAAGTACTTAAAAACTTGTTCTATAGCCTTGCTTACGAAGTCCGAAGATCCTCCAAGGGTTTAGGGTTTAGGATTTAGGGTTTAGGGCTTAGGGTTCAGGGCTTAGGGTTTAGGATTTAGGGTTTAGGACTTAGGTTTAGGGTTTAGGGCCCAAACTCTACACCGCTGGGACTTCGGGTGTTTTAGCACAGGAGGAGCCGCCAGCCCTTGAGTTCAATTGAAGGTCACAGGGCTTTTCGGAGTCCAGTGTTTCTGTGTTTATCTCTGTAGCCTCCGATAGGTTCTTGACAAGATACCCAGATGCGGCAAGACCAGTTAATTTGAGGCAAAATACGTCTCAAGGACTCTATTGCTTTTGAACACAGCTCAATGAATGTGTAGAATGCATGTGTGTATATGCATATATATATATATATATATATGTAGGTACACATACAACACCATCCATCCATCCATCCATCCATCCATCCATGCATGCCAGACATGCAGACATGCCGACAGACAGGCCAGCAGGCAGGCAGACAGACAGACAGGGTTCGGGGGTTAGGGGTTTAGGTGTTAGGGGCTTAGGGTTTGGGTCTTTCATTGAGGAGATTCTTAAATTTTGTTTTTTTGAGTAGAGCTTCTGAATGTGGCCTAAGGGTGATCCCCAGCAGTTCCGAATTTGTTTGCACACCCAAAGGGTCCTATGTACTGTTATGGGGTATACTTCCCCAAATCATATTAGTAATTCCGAATACAGAAACCCTACATTCTACTATACCGGCACATAGGAACCTTTGGGACAGCGAATCCCTGGCAGGGCGCCAAATGGAACTTGAGGCAGTTCTTGCGTGATGCAAGTGGTCGACTGTCGGACCGATCCTGAGCTTCCGTGCAATATCAGAGACCCAAACAGCACATAAGCATAAGCATTTTCGAGGGATATCCCTACCTTATTGGGCTTCACTATATTGGGATATATGGGATATCCCTATCCATATGTTTGCTTCTGTGCTTTTTTGGGGGCCCCATAATAATTACCTACTATTTTGGGGGCTTTAAAGGGGTGTTTGTGGGCTACTATAAGGGATCTATACGGGTACTATGACAATGATATAGGAACCTTTACAATTACCAGTACTATTCTGGGGGTTCCTTCTTATAACTATAGTACAATGGGCCCCAAAAATCTATTCTAAAAATGAAGGTCCCTATATTATGGGGCTTCCGCTGGTGTGTAGGATTCTGGGTGGGCTGTGTTTGATTGGTTCAGGGCCTATGTAATCTTTCTGTTCAGTGGGCTTCCAGCCGGAGTGGGCTGATGGACCGTCTTTTGTTGCAAAAGCGTTTGCGCTTGGTTGCTTTCGCGTTCCTAGTTCGCAGCATTCCGGGCAGAGTGTGCGAGTTTAGAGCTTCAGGCGTAGCAGGGCGGCTAGGACATTCCGTGCTCGGCCGAAGTATTTGGGCGTAATTAGTGTTTCGTCTTGAAGCTCCAAACCCACTGAAATCCCTAAACCCTAAACCCTAAACCCTAAACGTCAAACCCTGAAAGCTCCAAGCCCAAACCCTAAACTCCTCATGACATGAGATCCTGAAGAATGCTAAACTCTGAATACTGTAATCACAGACCCTGAACTTTCAACTTTTCCCTAATCCCTAAACCTAAACCCTAAACCCCTAAACCATAAACCAGTCTCTTAGAGGACTTCTACGAGCGTGAAAGAGACCTTGGAGAAGGAGGCGGGCCTGGGCGAAGTAGTTTTTATCATAGGGAGGTTTAGGGTTTAGGGTTTATAGGGTTTAGAGTTTAGGGTTTAGGGTTTATAGGGTTTAGAGTTTAGGGTTATCATAAGGAGCCTTAGGGGGGTAAGGGGAGGGGGGGGTAGGGGCCGTAATAATAAGGACCTAGTAAGGCTTTAATAAGGCTTATTTACGGAAGTATAGTCCGCTACCCCCCTCCCCCCTACCCCACTAAGGGTCCCTATGATTTGCGAGTTCTACACCACAAGGCTTCCTTTAAGCTTTCCAGCGAGGCTCTGAATGTGGTCTAAAACAGCCTGATGCCGTCAGGCTTTAGAGCTTCAAGCAAGGCATGAGGGGTTGAGGGCTTTAGGGTTTGGGCTTTTAAACCCTAACTTAGATAGCCAATGGGGGAACTTTAAAGTTTTTTGCCTTATATATTTCGTCTATCTTAGAAAGTTCCAACTTTTTTGGGCCCGGTTATTCAGGCAGAGAGCTAAACCCTACCCTTAGCTGGACGACGCAAAAGCCCTGGAGGCTACGGCGAGGTCTTCCTGGCAAGGCAGAAGATCTGCGCGGGCTCTGCATCCGAACGTTCTTCGATCTGGAAATATACGGTCGTTCATCATTGGAAGAGAGTTCCTTTCAATGGGGTATAAAGGCTTATTGTTCATCATGGAAAGGGGGTTCCTGGTTTGGGGAATATGAAGGGTGCTTCAGGGTTCCATTAGAACGGGCTGTCAAAAGGTGTCTATGGGGTGTTGGTTATAGGGCATGCGCTTTCAGGTCCTTTAAAAGCCTAGAAACCTGATAAAGGAACTTCTTAAGGAGCTAATAACTACACCCCGATGACATTAGGCATCATGTAAGCCCTCGAAAGGTACCCCGAGCAACCCCAAATCCAAAACTCTAATCATTTCTAAAATCAGTAAACCCAACCCTTCCAGGAACCCTGTTCCAGCTGTTAACCCTTCCAAACCAAGCCGGAAACCCGAAAGCCCGCGGCTCTGGAGCCCTACAGAACCTGCAAAACGAGCCCTATAGGGCCCTAAGCCTCAAACCCCTTAAAGGCTTCTGGAATTAGAAGGGTTCTATGATAGAGGGGCCGCTGATAGTCTAGGGTCCTTAATGAGTTCAATAGGGTTCCTATGCCGGCGCAGCAATTCGCAATTTCCAGCCGCTCCTCCATCCTGGCGCTAATCGTGGAGGTGGTGTACTTGTTCAAGACTGGACTGGCTGAAAGTCAAAGACAACGAGACGTTGTCGGAAGTATCCCTAAACCCTAAACCCCAAACCCCTAAACCCTCAACCCCTAAGCCCTAAACCCCTCAACCCCTAAGCCCTATACCCCTACGCCCTAAACCCCTCAACCCTAAACCGCAGTATACGAGCACTTGCTCGACGCTTGCCGATCCATCCGGGCAAGTCTCTACCAGACCGGAACGGACTCCGAGAGCAGCTTCTTAGGGTTTAGTCTTAGGGTTTAGGGGTTTAGGGTTTAGGGCTGAGTTCGAAAATATGGAGCAAAACGGAGGGGAACATCATAGCGTGGTCGACAACCTCATCGTGATGAGCTGGATCGGCAGTTGCTCCAAAGTTGGCTTGAAGCTGGACTGACGGCCGCAGCTCAAAACCCTAAACCAAAACCCTCGGTTCTGCAAAGTGTCTTTATGGTTCCTTTTGGTTTTGAGTTTTAGGGCCGCTAGGAACTGTCATTTAAAAATAGTTCTGTAAGTTTTACACGTTTGTAAGCGTTTACAGGGCCGCAGTTCCGTAAGGGTTGTACAAGGCCTAGACAAGTAGAGCGTAGGGGTGTTGGTGGTTAGCGGTTTAGGAGTTAAGGACCATGGTTTTTGGGCTTTTAGGATTTAGTCCTTGCGGTTCCCCAAGTAGCTACCATTATCTTCCCAGACCTTCCAAAATCCCTTAATTAAGGAATATACCTTAAATGATATTAGGGATCCTACTATAATTTAAGGTATATTCCTTAATTAAGGGATTTTGGAAGGTCTGGGTAGCTACGATTATCTTACTGGGAGCCTTAGGTGAGGGAGCCTGATTTGGAGATCCCAGCATTGACCAGACCCCAGGCCATTCCTGACCCAAGGGCCCAAAAGGACCCAACCTTTAGGTGTAGGATTTTTTTGTAGGTTTAAGAACTTACATGGGAGTTTCCGAAAATAGGGGGACCCTCATATAGTACCCTAAATAGTAGGATCCTTATTATAAGGACCCCTAAATAAGGTACCCCCTATTTTCGGAAACTCCCACATAACTGCGGAGAGTGTAAGATTGCGAGTAGAGTACTTGGGCCCTTAGATCTGATGCCCGAACCTAACAACCGCGAAAGCATTGCATATGAAACCCCTTATGTTAGGGTTTAGGGTTTAGGGTTTAGGGTTATAAGCCCTGAACGCAAACCGCCCAGGCCGAAATCCTAATCTCGCAACCCTCGGATTTATGCTCAACTATGGAACCCTAAACCCTAGAAGCCCTAGAAACCCTAAACCCTAAACCCAAAATTCCGGACTCGCAAAGGTTCCGGGCGTCTTGCTGCAGTAAAGCGTGTGCGGAAGCCCAACGTGGAGGCATGTCGAGCTTGAAGATGAAAGGACTATCAAATAGCTTGGCTAGGGTTGCTAGGGTTCCTTTAAGAGCTTCTAGGGTTCCTTTAAGAGGCTTAATGTTTTGGGTTTAGGGCTTAGCGTGTAGAGTCTACGATTGTGGGTTCTGGGTCTAGGATTTAGCGCTTGGTTTGTATATGTTTGTGCAAGTTATAGCTTACAGGGACTTGTTGCAGTATACAGCTATGCCAACTGTTTGTTATTGGGTTGGGATTGGGGGTTGACTTTGGATGTCAGGCAGACCCTGGTGTCACAGGTGCCAGGTGTCCAAAGTCAATATGCAGTTACCTTACACTACTGCAGCGTGTTGTTTATCCCTAAACCCTAAACCCTAAACCGTGTTGTTTATCTTTTGCTAGGGTCCACTCAAGGTCCATATTGGGGTAGGATCTCACTTGTGGAGGTAACATCGGGCGCTGCCAAAAGTAGGCCGCGGCTATGGCAGTTGAAGTTAGGAGACATTCAGCGATCGACACTGAGCCCTGAACCCTGCATCCTGTCAGAAACCCTATGAAGTGTAAACCAGTCTAAGCCTTACAAAGCACCCGTGCTACTAGTTAGCGGTGTAGGGTCAAGCTTCGCTAAAAAGGGTTAGGGTTTAGGGCGACGAGTCTCCGAGCTTAAATGCTGAGCAGGGAATTTAGACGTCCAAGCCCCGCAAGCAACCTCTCTTCGAGAGATGCAAGTCCAAGAGCCCTGAGCCCAACCAGCCTGGATCCGCAACTTATGCCGTGAATTTCGAGCTCTCTAATCAAGTAAGCAACAAACGACAACCCCCAAAGTCATATCCATTTCAATCGCATTCCTGTGCACAAAAATGTAGGTGTGTATGCATGTGTTCATGCATGCACGGACGGACGGAGGGATGGATGGATGCAGGTGGATAGATGCATGTATGTGCATGTGCATACTTACACTGTACTATTTTGTATACAAAACATGGACAACCCTGCAAGGAGCCCTAAACCCCAAACCCTCAAACCTTAACCCCCGAAGCCCTAAACCCTAAACCCTAAACCCTAAACCCTAAACCCTGAACCCTGAACCCTGAACCCTAAGCCCTGAGCCCCTTACAGGAACCCTAGAAACCAAAAACGAACCCTCATAGGAACCGTAGGTAAAAGGAACCCTCAAAGGAACCCTAAGAACCTTAAGGTACCCTTAATTAAAGGAACCCTCAAAGGAACCCTAAGAACCTTAAGGTACCCTTAGTTAAAGGAACGCTCAAAGGAACCCTAGGAACCTTAAAGGAAGCCTCGAGTTCCCCCAGGCAGGTTTGGACGAGGAGGGCGCCGACTCCGAGGCAGCTTTGTCGGAGTTTCGGACGGAGGCGGGAGCTGGCATCAGGGTTAGGGGTTTAGGGTTTCGGGGTTTAAGGAGGATACTATAATCTAGGGTGTAGGGTTTAGGGTTTAGAAGTTGGGGCAGGCATCAGGGTTTAGGGTTTCAGGGTTTCAGGGTTTCAGGTTTCAAGGGCTTAGGGTTTAGATTCAGGGGTTCTGGTTTAGGGTGCCTGAAAAGATCCAGTAAGACTCCCTCTACACTGTAAGTAGTTTGAAGGTTTCCCTGATGGTATTCTAGGAAGGGAGATTCGATGCCCTGCCCTGCCCTGCCCTGGAGACGGTTTAGTGAATTTAGTGTTTGTGGCACCAACAGGTAGTACTACGAATCCTTGAAGACGAAAGGAAGCACTAAACCCTAGCTTCAGACTAGACCCAAAACCCCGGACCCCTGATAGATCCGTTGTAGACCCCTTCAAGAGCCCTAAGCCATACAGCAAGCCATAACCCAAGGATAAGCTTGTGATGCTTTACATCCCTTATAAACTTATAAAGCCCTTACAAGCCCTGAAAACTCTTATAGTGCTCTTGTAGAACCCATGAAATACTTTGGAAAAGGCCTTATACAACAAATACTTCCAAGCCGAATATCTGCAGTACTGCTGATGGACAAAATCCTGCATGACCCTAAGGACCCTAAACTATGGGAACTATGGTATTCCTTATAACGGGTAATGCAGGATTTTGTCCATCAGCAGTACCAAAGCAGGTTGAGCTTATGAAGTCCCTCGACCATCCGTCCATCTGCCGGCTTCTACAGGCAGTGCCATCTGTTAGGGTTTAGAGTTTAGGGTTTAGAGTCTAGGGTTTAGAGTTTAGGGTTTAGAGTTTAGGGTTTAGGGTATAGAGTTTAGGGTTTAGAGTTTAGGGTTTAGGGTTTCGGTTTCGAGTTTACGTAGGTTGTATCTCAGCTTGTGGGTTTAATTTGTTTTGGGGTTGTACAGGCCATTAAATAGGATTGTCTCCAGGTGCCGCCGTATTTCAACAAGTTCAACAGATTGCATACGGAGCTTGTTTCCATCATCGCCAGCGCCATCACCACTGGCGCTGTCATGATCATCGTGGCTGAACAATGCCTCGGTAGTCTTCAACGATGAGGTCAACTATCAAGTTCGTGCCTAACTCGGGACTTGCGTCCATACGTAGCCTGGGCCTTGTGCCCGAAAATCCAAACCTGAAGCCGCGAACACCAAAAGTTTTGAGAATTGAGTCCTGCATTCCACACCCTGAAAACCGGACGCTCTAAACGCTAAAGATTGAAGTCTTAAGCCTAGAATCTAGAAACTTCCACAGCCATGAACCCGAGCTCAAAGCTGTCGCGACAAGCACAGTCATTTTAAGTTCGTGTCCAGCACGTGACCTGCAACCTCAAACCCCCTCAACACCAAACTCATGAAAACTACGCCCTTGGGTTTTAGGGCTTGAGGGTTTCCCTGATTCTTCAAGGCTCCTAAGAGGCTTTTGGGCTTTCTGGGGGAGTTTTTCGGCTTTGGGGGCCATGGTTTGGGATCGCACTGCAAGGGTTCAAAGGTCCAGGAGCCTTGGAGTAAACTCTAAACGTTCCTGACCTCAAATCCCTAAGCCCTAAACCCTTAAACTCCTAAACCCTAAACCCCTAAACTCCTAAACGCTACACCCCTAAACTTCCCTAAACTTTAAGCCCTACATAAACTCCGAGGTCTACGAGGATTCCAAGAACTTATACCTAAACCCTAGACCCTGAATCCCGGGACCCCTACCCCATAACGGGCTATATAATGGGTATATAATAGCCATACTAAGGGTATGTACCTAGGGGTCCTTTTTAAGGGTCCCTCCTTTTACCCCTGAATCCCTGAAACCCGAACCCCTAAACCCTATAAACCCTAAAATTTCCTGAGAAAGGGGCTTTTAGGACGCTTCGTGCAGACTGAAAAAGGGCCCTTTAAAACAAACAAAAAATCCTGAGGTCTACGAGGACCCCAAGAACTTGTACCTCGTCATGGAGCACATTCAGGGGGGAGAGCTGCCTCCTGGCGACGAGTTCTTTAAGGGTTCTTTTTCGGAGGTTCCATAGGGATATGCTGATGGTTTTGGGTATACGGTTTAGGGTTTACGGCATACCTCTGTATATACGTACATACATACATACATACATACCTACGGTATACATGTGATTCTAGATCCATATGGGTCTATATATATATATATATATATATATATATGTGTGTGTGTGTGTGTGCATGTGAATTTACGTATGTACGTATGTCTGTTTTTTGTATGTATGTATGTATGTATGTATGTATGTGTGTATGTATGTATGTATGTATGTGTGTATGTATGTATGTATGTATGTATTTATGTATGTGTGTATGCATCTATGTGTGCATGTGTGTGTGTATGTGTATATATATATATATGGTACCCCCCCAGGGCTAGCATATATATATATATATGTATCGGTATACATACACATGCATGTGTTAGTAGTTTGCGCCTATAGTCGTCAATCACAGTTGTTTTTATATGCCCTGAAAATGTAGGATTGCGGATGTTCAGGTATAGACCTTACACCCCCTTGCGAAAGCTGAAGCGTAGGTTCAACTATGTGGTGGAGCGGGGTCAACTCCACGAGCACGAGGTCCCTGCATAAAGCAGGGTTGAGGGGTTAGGGTGTAGGGTATGTCGGTTTACGTTGTGCTGTAGGGTCCAGGGTTTCAGTTTAAGGTTCGGTCGTGGGTTCAGGGTTTCCGATGTTTGGTTTCGAGGATTGAGACTGAGGTCGTAGGGTTTGAGGTTTCGTTTGGAGCATAGGGTTTGTAGGGTTAGAGCTTGGCAGTTTCCAACTAAAGAGCAGCGGTGATTACGGCCCAGCCGCTCTTCTCTGGGTTCTCTTTAAAGAGTTCGATATAAGTTGCCATAATAGGGGTCTAACGTAAGTAATATGGTTTCCGTATTATGGTAACAAACCCCTTAATTCATGACAAGAGCCCACTTTTGAACCCCCGGAGTTCCCAAGCCCAAAGCCATCCTAGGGTCATAAGTACGACCTAGCCCTGAACCTCTGAACCCCAAAATCCTTGTCGTGACCCTCATAGTGCCCATCAAGGAACCGCTTAAACTACAGTAACCAAAATCCTAGCCCCGAAAACCCTAAACCCTTAAACCCTAAACCCTAAACCCTACTACAAACCCTTCTCAAAGGAACCCTTGAACTTATCGAGGCCGCTCGGGTGATGCGTCAGATTGCATCTGCACTAGAATATTGCCACGAGCAGGCAGGGGTTTAGGGTTTCGGGGTCCTTGCAGCTACTGTTTGGGCTCCTTCAGGGGATCATTCAGAGGAGTTTAGGGTCGTTTGGGTTTTGGGTGTAACAGTGTAGGGCCTAAGGGTTTACGGTGTTGATCTCAGGGTTTCCGGCTTCATGGTTTTAGGTTGGGGCTGTAGAAGGCTTTCTCGTCCGTGCTAGGAGCATCCAGGTTAGCTTCCACCCGGATCAGTTTTTGTTGGTTTGCCTTACAGTTTCCGGCTGTTTCACACCTAATGTCACGGTTTAGGGTTTAGGGTATGGCTTTTTCTGTAGCATCGATTCGGCTCTGCTGCCTTGGAAGGGCTTGTGGGCTCGGTGCAAGCACACCCCAAAGGTTCCTATGTGCCGATATAGTAGAATGTAGGGTTTTCATATTAGGAATTACTATTATGACGTAGGGAAGTATCCCCCATAACAGTACATTGGACCCGTTGGGCACACAATCGGCCAAGCCCGAACTCCAAAAAGGTCATTGTGCGGGGCCCGGAACTCTAATAGCCCCAATGCCTAATTAACCACCAAAGCTCTTTACCGGCAACCCACTCAGACTTTGTTCTTTCCTGCGCCGAGCCCTTTAAAGTTTCAAAGATCTGACGAAGGGCACCCCAAGACTGTAGCCTACAAGTACACCGATAAGCCCTAAACCCCGGAACCCTAAGCCCTAAAGCTCTAAAAGCCTTCAAACCATAAGCAAAAAGCCCTACAGTAAACCCCATAGAGTCGGGAACTGGATTAACGGCCAACTAGTGCTGGGATTCCCTATACATTACTCTTAAGGATTGAGGCTCTGGGGTTTCCAACTTTTGGGCTTCTACTGTAAAGCCCCAAACCCTCAATACTAATCTTCCGGGGCGGTGTTATGTTGAAGATCCGGTAATGGATTTGTTTGCCTGCAGGGCGTCGTTCACCGCGACATCAAGCCGGAGTGGTTCTGCCTTGTTTAGGATTTCTTACGGGGCTTGGGGTTCTAGGGCTTGCAGAGGGTTCAGGGTTTAGGGGTTGAGGGTTTGGGGTTCTGGGGCCCTTGTTCCTTTTTTGTGGCTTCTGGGTTCCAGGCTAAGGCCAAAGAAACCCATGATTCCAATTTAGTTCCAAGCCTGTAATATCCGAGTTCCCACACCAAGAAGCCCAACTCGATGCCTCCTAAACCGCTGGAAGGAACGGTCATTATGACCAGAAACCCTAAACTAAACCACTCTAAACGCCACACCCTGCACCCTAAACCGATGAAGACCTTCTCAAGGGCCCTTGCTTAGCAGTAGAGTGAGTGGCTAAGCTTTTACATTTTTTTGAGGGGGAGTGCATAATCCCCACAAAATCCAAAGGCTCATCTTTCAGTTTTCGAGTAGCATGGCCTCATCCCCCACTGGCCGCTGCACCCAAAACTGAAACTGAGGGTCTAGCCTGTGACAAAAGATTGCAACCCTACCAAAGACGCATTAAACAAGTTTCCTTGTCTGGAACACTATCCGAGGGCACTAATACTGAATTGTGGCCCGAAAACCTCAAAGTAGGGTTGATCTTTTGGGACTTATCGCCTTCTGAGTAGAAGAGCTCCATGTGTTCGTACCTGGAGGATCATGGGACTTAGTAAGTATGGTTATAAGTACCTTAATTGGGGTTATAAGTAATTATGACTATAATTACCATATTTATAACCCCAATTACTAAGTCCCATGATCCTCCAAGTAAGAAGGTGAGGATCCAGAAATCTGAGCGGGAAGCTAGCAAGACCGTGTAGGGCTTAGGGCTTTTAGGGGTTTTGGTGTGTTTAGCGGTTTTCGGTTTGTCGGGCTCTAGTGGTTTAGGGGGTTCTGCAGTGGAGCGCTTTCATTCAGAGCTCCATGCTCGAAGATTCGGTCGTGCTCCACAGGATGGCCAAGAAGCAGAAGGCCATGGCATGCCTAGGAACCCATGGGGTGGCATAGACCATGGAAGTTTCTGGTCTTCTGTCACCCCCCACCTTCATCCAAGTAGGGTTTGGGGTTTCGGCCCGACCTTCGTCGTCTTTGTCGCCATCATCGGAAGAGCAATCTCAGCAGGGCAACAACAACTACGGTTGATGATATAAATCCTGCATTATCTTAAGGACCCGAAACTATGGGAATTATGGTATATTCCTTATTGTGGGTAATGCAGGGTTTACATCATCAACCGTAATTAAGCCTATCTCGGTACCCGGGGTTGCTGGTAGAGCCGATGCTTTGTAATGGGGTGGCGAGCTGGGTGAAGCCGAGTGGATACAACATGTTAGGAATATCCTGGTGGTCGCGGAGGAAGATGATGAGTTCACCGTCACTTGGTTCTGATGTGCCACGAAGGAATCGGGCTTGCTGAACGGATCCGGGAAGTCAATGCTTAGCGGTATGACGGGTTCTGGAGTACTATAATTACTCGATTATTGTTTGTTTCGGACCGATTGCCTAAAGGAGCCATGATGAAATCAAAGCCTGTACTTCTTTCTCACCGGTTACTTCAAAGTCCAACATGATGGCCGAGGGTCTAGCATTCACGGTTTAAACCCTAAACCCAAAACCCTAAACCCTAAACTTGAAAGGCTTTAGAGCTTAGGTGTCGAGGTCCAAGGCTTCTTTCTGGGCCTGGCCCTGCAGGATCTACGCTTTTTGGGCCAAAGTTTTGGGATGCACGTCGCAACAGCTCCCAAGCTTCTTCCTGACAAAGCCCTAAACTCCGTCCCTAAACCCTAAACCCCACCCTCACACCGTCAAGCCCTAAGCCCTACAGCATTGAAGCTCGCCAGCCTTTCCGAAGAAAACCATTCCATGGCCCTCCACCCTGAATCTTAATGTCCAAAACCCGATTCCCTAAAGCTCTAAACTGTCCCTAAGCCCTCAACCCCATTAACCCGCGAAAAACACTTCTAAGCCCTAAAAACCAAAGCTTAAACTGGTTGAAGACCCAGGTGAAGCTCATTGACTTCGGATTCGGCAGCCGGATCCTGGAAGGCGTGAAGCTACGAGCAAAGGTTGGCACCTTCGTGCCCCTTGGATCCAAGAAGTACGGCTGATGATCTAGATCCTGCATGACCCATAATAAGGAATATACCATGATTCCCATAGTCTAGGGCCGTTAAGGTAATGCAGGATTCATATTATCAAAAGTGTTGCTCTTACTTAAGGGTCCAGGGTTCCCGAATATGGTTATAGTAACGTAAAAAATATGCCAGAAAAGCCTGTTGAAACTATGGAGGCCACTAGACAGAGGCTCCTTTGTTATGGTTTAAGGAGAATGCCGTCCTCGGGAGATAATGGGCTTTGCAGGCAGAGTTTCAGTTCGTCTCGCGACTCTGTATAAGGAGTTTTCTGATGCTTTGTAAGGGTTTTCATAGAGGTCGCTATCTTCTAGAAAGCGGCTTGCTATTGCAACTAATGGTCTGCTACACTTTCCTGAAGTGTTGCTATCAGGTGTACAACCTTGCTGGTTACTTGCTGACCAAGTCCGCTGATCTGTTCAGTAGAGTGGAGTGTATCGTGACAGCCGTGAGGCTGTATGGTTTGTCATGAGGTGCAGAAAGTTAGCCACAGCAGTGTTCAAGTGTTGTAGGTCATGTTGTACAGAAGTTTTGTAGACTAGTTATCCGAAGCTCCAAACCCTAAGCCCTAATCCCTTTTCAAAGTGTCGTTAGCTATTGAATTTTGACTGCTTGGGTTCCAGGGCACTACGTGACATCGTTTTGGTCGGTTGCGGACTGTGGGGCCATCTACCTGGACTACAAGTGTTGCCTAAGTCCAACGGTCGATGCGATATAGGGTTGAGGGTCTCAGGTATGTTGCAGCAATGTCCATGGCATGCACCAGATGCCATCAATAAGTCACGAGTCTGAATGACAAGCATGTGCCTGGACACCCAGGACGGACCCCCCCCCCCCCCCCCCCGAAATTCCGAACGCTGAACAAAGCCGGGAACCCTAAAGCTCACTATGCTAACTGCTAAATGCTGACAGAACCCTACCTGAAACCTGAGACCGTAGAACCTGACAAGAAGTCGCTCAAACTTGATAGTGCCGCAGAGCCCCGCTATACGTAAGGCAAATAACCCCGTGAGACCCTTCAACGATATGAGGTACAGTGCTCCCGAAATTCTCAGAGGTGACCTTTGTGACGAGTTGCTGGGAATGCTATGCTAGCCCAGGTTTTACAAGGAAGTGTTCGTACGGGGTTTTACAAGGGTGTTTTCGGGTCTTAGCTGACCCCGGGGTTCAAGGTTGAAGTCGGGTTTATGACAAGACTCTGCATACAAGTAGGTTTCGGTAGCGTAAGACATAGTCAAGGTAAAGTCTGAAGTCAATTTCGCTAGGGTTTAAGTTTCTGAGCTTCAGGGCTTTCGGCTTCAGGGTATTCAGGATCTTAGGTTCGCTGTCCTTTCGCTATTCTAGCCCAGTTCTCCACTTCCCAACCTGCACTTGTTGACGGGTCTGAACTCCCTGCCATAAACGCTAAATCCCAACCCCTGAGCCCTAAATCCTAACCACCTGAACCATAACCCTAAGACTCCAAGTGTACATAGTACAAATAGTACCTACTTTGGGGTCTAAAGTTTCTACATACTACCTACTTTGGGCCATTTGGAGTCTTAGGGTAAACCTTTTCTCATCCGGAGGGGAAGTGGCAACCGGGCACTAAACCCTAAACCCTAAACCCGGTTTGCCGGTTCAACGATAAAGCCCCAGAGTTGAGGGGGCGGGGGGGTTGGGATTCAGGAGTTTAGGATTCCACTTCCGGCGAGTTTTTGCCTAGTTGCGTAGCCTGCTCACGAAAATAGCAATAGTAGCAGTGACAAGAATGATAAGTAGTAAAATTCAATGCCTTATACTCTCTCGGCCTACACAACCCTAAACCCTAAACCCCAAAGCCTAAACCCCTAAACCCTAAACCCCTAAGCCCCTAAACCCCTAAACCCCTAGACCCTAAACCCCTAAAACCCTAAACCCCTAAACCCTAAACCCCTAACAACTAAGCCCTAAACTTTAGGACGCCCTTGTGGGAGAAGGACCCCCAGGTAATATACCCTCAATTTAGCCATTATATACCCATTATATAGCCCATTATAGGGTAGGGGTCCCCATTAAGGGTCCCTCCTTTTCCCCTTTGATTGTGGGAGCCGAGGAAGCTCGATCTCTGGGCTCTGGGCTGCGTTCTTTTCGTGCTCTTGTCGGGCGACTTCCCGCTCCTCGGAGACCCTAAAGCTCTAAGGGCTCTTAATTGGCTCCTTAGAGGGATTTATAGGGTTTTTTCAAGGGACCTATAGGGTTTAGTTTAGGGTCTAGGGTATACTCCAATATCCCTTAAGTAAGGAAGATTCCTTAAATCGTATTAGGGATCCTACTATAACTTAAGGTATATTCCTTAAAATGAAGGGATATTGGAGTCTCTGAGGACCGGCTTAGCTTCGGGTGGTTTAAGGTTGAAGGTGCTACAAGGCTGCTATAGAGGCTGCTCTGAAGGTGGTATAATGGGTTTAGGGTTTAGGGTTCCATGGCGCTTCCTATCATACAGGGTTTAGAGTTTGGCGGTTGAGGGTTTAGGGTTTAGCTTGTGATATCAGGGGCCTGAGTAACTAGGGCTATAAGTGAAGTACCTATCTTGTTAACTACATTCCGCCTTAATTAGGGTACTTCTAGTAGGTGAAGGGGGCTTCGTGCTATGTACGGCCTGGTCTAGGGTTTACGGTTGAGGGTGACGGCCTCCCGAGTTTACTGGGATTTTGATGGTGGTCGTGTTTAAGGTGTCGTGGGTGGCAGTGTGGGCTTGAGACTTGTTTAACGACGATGTTCTACCTTGTATGCACCATGCCGGGTTGGATCCATCAAGGGCTTCGGAGATTCAGACTTCTGGATGTTGACCTGATTGATGAAAACGAGGTTTCGGTTTCAGACAGCCCACAACCCTACAGCACCCCATGACAAAGATTTTGGGGTTGAAAGGTTTTGCTTAACGTGCAAACCAAGCAGGTACCCTTCAAAGCTATGCCTCCTCAAAACCGAGAACCCCTCAATCCACCCTGAATGACATTGCTTCCCAAAACCGTGAGCCAGAAACCATCTTCAACCCCTCAACCCCGAAACCAAAGCCCAGGTTTTACGGTAACGATACGCAGGGCCAGATCCTCTCGGGTAAGTTCGAGCTCGATCAGAAGATCCTTTGGCGAATTCGTGCAGGGTGCTGTGTGATAAGGGTTCCGAAGGTCTCTGCGGGTTTTATGATGGGGCTTCAAGAGTGTCCCCAAATTTCAGAACTCTACAGTAAGGATTTTGGTTGCCAGGGCCTGATGCGTTGCGGCACTTTCTGCTCTACTTGTGTAATCGCGTACACACGCTTCAAACCTTCCTGTTCTTAGAGTTTACTTTGTTTTTCCTTGGGTTTGGGGGGGAAGTTTGGGAGTTTGGGAAGGGTGGTGGGGAAGTGTTAGTATTGTTTCAATCGGGGCGACAAGTTTCCAGACCTCAAAAGTGGTCATAGGGACGCTCAAGGGGGGTAGGGGGAGGGTGTGAAAGGTGGGTAGGGGACTATACTTCCTTAGCTAGGCCTTATCAGGTCCTTATTCTAGGCATGAAGGCCTCACCTACCCCCCTAAGGGTCCTTATGATAGGGTTTCTGGGGAGATGGGGCGCAAGGGCTGCAGGCTGTGACCGAGGTCACAAGGAATGGGTCGGTGAGCTCAAGCAGTATACTTAGTAGCTGAGTAGATACACTTTGCACTTTTTGGGATAACATTACCCACAATATAACTGAAAATGTACATTTTTGGGGGGGCTCATGAACTCAACACAAGGTATTTGCTGGTGGTCCGAAGGTCTTTATATGTGGTACCTGCCTGCGGGAGGGGGGTGGGGGCATGTACGAGTCGAGTACTCGGTGCTTATATAGGGAGTCCTAGAGAAGGCTTTGAAGCCCAAGAGGTTCAGCAATCCGAAGCTTGGTCTTCGGCGTTCGTGGCTTGCGGTTTGAGGGTTTAGGACATGTGGGCGGTTGTCAAAATTGTGGTCCCTTTTGGGGTCCCTAATATATTACGGCACCTGTTATTTAGGGTACCCAAAGAGGGACCACAATCTTGACAACCACCCATGTAATGGTTGTGCTACTAGTTTCACAGCAACAGTAAGAGCTGCGAGGACTCCCGCCAACACTACTATGCCATGCTTTCCCTCAAGACTACCAGGACCCTTAACTCCCTTTCTTCCTCTTTATTAGTCCGAGGATCATGAAGACATCGATTACACCGGCCAACCCCGTTTCCGAAAGCACCAGACTGTACCTCAACCCCCCCGAACAAGAAAACCTACTTTTCGAATGTTCTTGTGATGATTTCCTTACAAAGGTACTGAACAAGTCAGGTTTTCGGTATTCCTTAGCAGTCCCAGGTGGTCGGGGGTGTCGTCGGAGGCAAAGGACCTCATCACGCAGCTCCTTGACGTCGAACTGATATAGAGTTTCTGGTTTAGTGCTCAAACGTTGAAAGTTTTGCAGGGCTCAGAATACTGTAGACTTAAGCTCAAGATTTACGGTGATTGACGGATGGAAGGTTTAGGGATTGTTCTGGATAGAAGGTTCAGGGCAGTTGAGTTTGAACGCACATTGCGCCCGAAGCCCCAAACCCTAAACCCCGAAATCCTAGAACTCTTATAAGCCCCCACCGTAAACCGCGCAACCGTAAAACGCACAACTCACAACCCTGGAACAAACCAGGCAACCACAAAGTCTCCCAGGCTTTTGTGTGTGGACGCTGCGAAGCGCTTGTCGGCCAGCCAAATCTTGCAGCATCCATGGCTTCAGAAGGCAGCATTCTGCTTAACCCTACCACCCTAAACGCCTGAACCCTAAACCTTGTAAACCCCAAACCCTAAACCGTGGCCGAATTTGGTTTCGCTTCTTAAGGATGGTTTTCAGGTGTTTCAGATAGGTTCTTTCCATATTGGACCCATGATAGGCTATAGCCGAAGGGTCCATGTAGCCAGTAGCCGAGTAGTATATACCTGGGCCCCAAAGTACACAAATAGGGATTACTTTAAGGCCAAAGTATGTACTATTTGGGTACATGGACCCTTAGGGATAGCTAGGTTCACACACTGTTTTGCAGGTTTGGGCAGGGTGCAGAGGTTTTGTGTAGCAAGTTTTCGGGTTTAGGGTTTCGGGGTTTTGAGGGGGTTTGTTTCCGGGATGGGTTCCGCAAAGCATACTCTAAGCTCGATACGTTAGGATGCGTACCTGCACCCGTATCCTGATTCCGAGACAGGGTCTCCACACGAAGTAGGGCCAGGTAGGGCTTATGTTAGGGGTTCGATGAGTCTAGAAAGGGCACCTTAGATGAGACATATTGGTGAAGGTGTGTTGTGTGTTCAGTCTCGCGTTTCGGGTAAAAAGCTACTCCACATGCCTCCACGATCCAGGTAAGGCTTTGGGCTTCAAGCATCGTTTTATGACTTACCCAAAATCTTTGGCTTCCAGGTACCAAAGACCAGTCCGAGTATAGTATCTTGACCTACAGCACCCATATTGGGATGCACCCTCAAGGATTGTCCCAGGGCATGATAGAGCCGTTAAGAGGATCCGATGTCGGGTCTGGGTAATGTAGGGATTTGCGTCTTTCTCTTGGGCTTTGTTGTGACTTTCGCCTCATGTTCACTGCTTGGGACTCAGAATCCCTTCGGAAAAACTCGCCCAGCCCCACACCCACCATGCTAAATAGCAACCTCTGATCCCTAAGAAGGCTCCCCGACAGTCTTGTGTTTACCCGGATTCTCGATACTAGCGCGACACCCGAACCTCAAACTCTGTAGGCCCTGAACCCATCCCCTCAGCTTTACGCGCCCACCCGTACACTAATCCGTGCGACCTAAATGCTGAACCCCCAATACGAAAGCCCCACGGCGGCGGCAAAAGGGGCGAGTACCTAAATTTCCGTAAACTGAACCCCAAGTCGAATACAGTACTTGGCAGCTGAATAAGTGCACTTTACTCTTTTCTGGATACTGTTATCCTTTAAAGAACTCAAAAGGTACACCTTTTTGGTGCTTATGAATTCAAAGGGTCCTATGTACTGTTGTGGGGGATGCTTCCCTAAGTCATAATAATAATTCCCAATATGGAAACCCTACATCCTTTATACTATATCATATCGGTACATAGGACCCTTTGGGGAACTCCTCAATTGGAGGGTTGAAAGTATTTGCAACTATTGTTGCCCTTTTTATAACCTTAGTTACTAAGTCTACCAATTCTCATGATCCTCTAAAGGGAACTCCAGAAAGTTGGAGTATGGTTTCAGGGTAGGATACCTTATCATTTACCATAAAGGGTTTAGGATAATCATATTCCAACTTTCTGGCTTTTACTTTACTGGGTTCCAAGAAAACCTAGATCTAACCCAGAGGCCGCTCCGCATCTGAAAATGGAAGCGGCGGCCCTGCAGCAGATCGGAGGCCTCGAGACGTTCCACAACCAGCCGCTGGGATGCTAACATGGGTGGTTCTCAAAATTATGGTCCTTTTTTGGGTAGCCTAAATATTAGGTGGCGTATCTAATAAGGACCCAAAAGGAGACCATGATTTTGACAAGGATTTATATTGGAATTTCCGAAAATGGGGGGGTACCTTACTTTTGGGGTCCTTACAATAAGGCAAAAAGGATCCTACTATTTTGGATGCTATATTGGGGTCCCCTATTTTCGCAAACTCCCGTATAGGCGCCATGACAGTCAAAACAAAGTTTCTGACGGGGTTTATGGTCAGAGGTTCTGTGAGGATTTTATACTACAGTCATAACAGCGGGACAGGGTTTCTGAGGGGTTTCGTATTGCAGTCTTAGTTGTCAGACAGGGTTTCTGAGAGGGGGGATGCATACTATACCGTAAACTGCCATGCCCCAGCTGTTTAGGGTCCCTATGTATTTTGTATTGGGCACTATATTATTGTGAACAGACACAAAAGTTTTAGTTCGTTATAATGTAGGCATAATACGAACGCCAAAGAACAGCACCAGTACATATGCAGGTTTCCACATTATCAGAAAGTTTCGCCTTGATGCTGTGTTTTTTAATGTTTTTGAGGCTTGTCAAGGGTTTCTCTCGGGTTAATGGTTTAGAGTTTTATGCTCATGGAAGCTTGTTTGTTTCGGGGTTTCAATCACACTTCAATAGGGTTCCACGTTGGCTTGGTTAGTCTCCAGAAGTTCTTGATCAGGACCTTCACCATAAACCACTGAACCATGTAAACCCTAGCGTTAATCCCTTGTAACCCCAGATGTCTATTGGGCCCGGCAGATATCCTAAATGGTACGCGCGATTGCATTTCTTTGCGCAATAAACCCTAAACCGTAAACACTGAATGCCCTAAGCATTAAACCCTAAACCTCTCTTTCCAATGATGTTTTAAACATTGGCAAAATCGTCGCCGCATTCGCAACATTCGTCGTGCAAGGCGAGACGAATCATTCGACGCACAAAGCGAAATATTCGTCATTGAAAGCCAATCCGGTGTTTTCGTTTGGCGACGAGTCTTTCGCTTGAGACCACATGAGCGCTCATGCTGCAGCGTACGATGAAAACGTGCTTGAAATTTGTGTCACTGGGGCTTATTAACCTCGAAACCCTAAGCTATAAAACCCCTGATTCCTCAAGTAAGGAACGTTTTCCGTCACTTGGCGGCTGGCGTCCTCGCGAAGCAGATGGACGAAGGGGACCTTCACGAGCTCCACAAGGCTTTTTGCGCCATGGACAAGGACCTGGGATATAGAATGCTTTTGAATGTATACCATATAGCATGCTATGTCACGTCATATTCTATTAGTTACAAACCCCAGCCCTAAACCCCTAAACCCTTAAGCCCTACTGCTAAACCCTAAACCCCTTAATCCCCAATTCCGAAACCCCTGAACCGTAACTGAACCGTAAACCCTAAACGTTGAGAGAACCTGGAGCTTCCTTCAAGTTGCTGCGCACACTCGCAAGGACGAGAACGGCGTCGTCACCTTCGCGGAGTTCAAGGAGGTACTGAAGGTGCGGGTTCTCTCAGCGTTAGGCCCTAGAGTTTGTTTCGGGGTTTAGGGGTTTAGGGTTAAGGGGTGCTAACGCGGCCCTGCAGTTAGGGCAGGGCTTTAGGCTTTTGCATTCGTGGCGAGGGCTTGGTGTTCAAGCCCTGCTTGGCTCGTGGCATGAGGGGTTGCAGAAAGGTGCTATACTTGAAGGCTCATGGGATGTAGTATCTAGGGATAACTGTACTTACCCATTATCTTATAACTAACATTGGGCACTTATGACCTTACTTACTAAGTCCCCTGATCCTCCAAGTAAGGGTTCTTGAGCACACACTCTTCTTCGCCGCTTGACCGTAGGATAGCTTTCGGGTTTGGGTTTTTCTCCCAACGTGGAACTGCCAAAGACGAGTTCTTTTTGTTTGCCTGCCTTTCCTAAAGGGTCCTATGTGTACTGTTAATTACGGGGGAATCTTCCCTGAGGCATAATAGTAGTTCCTAATATGGAAGCCCTACATCCTACTATATCGGTACCTAGGATTCCGCCTTAACACTAAACCTATGCAACTTTAGGGTTCGCCGAAACCCTCAGGAAGCTACCTTTTTAGGGTTCCTTGTTATGAGTTCCTCTTATAGGTCCTGATATGTGCCGGTTATTCGGGTAACAGGTAGGGTTTAGCCCCAAGCTCTTAAGCCGTAAACCATCTCTATGATAGTGTAGAAGCCTGAATAAACTCCAATATTGTTCGTTAGAATCCCTTATTATAGCTACACGATATTGTACCCGAAACCCTATTAGGTTTTTTAAAGGCCCCTTCTTTTCAATCCCTCAACCCTAAACCTTAAACCCTATTCTACTGAATAAGGCCCCTTCTTTTCGAACCCTAAACCCCTAACCCTAAAAACCTTAACCCTATTCCACCTATTAAGGCCCCTTCTTTTGGTTGAAGCTCGCAGGAGTTCAATTTGAACCCTATTCTACTTATTGAGGCCCTTTCTTTCAGTTGAAGCTCGCAGGAGTTCAATTTGAACAGCTCGAGCCATCCGGAGCTCCAGCTGGGTGCCGGGAAGATCAGCGAGCACCCTGTCAGACAAACCCCGCGGTTTAGGGTTTGGGGTTTAGGGGTCTAGGGTTTAGGGCTATGGATTATGGGTTGAGGATTTTGGGGTCTAGGATTTAGGGTTTTAGGGTGTAGAGTTTTAGGATTTTGGGGTCTAGGGTTTTAGGGTTATGGATTTTGGGTTTAGGGTTATGAATTTTGGGTTTGGGGTTTAGGGTTTTAGGGTTTTTCTACATGGTTTAGGGTTTTAGGGTTTTAGGGTGTAGGGCTTTAGGGTTTTTTGGTTTAGGGTTTTAGGGTTTTAGGGTTTAGGGCATTCGGGTTTAGGGTCAAGGTTGAATGGTTTCTAGGCTGTGGAACCTTGGTGTTTCATTTTACGTTGATGGTGCCGCACGTATTTTTAGGGTTCAGTCAGAGTCTAGTGTTGGAGACCGTTGCGGCTGGTCTAGCCGTAAATCCCTAAACCCTAAACCCCTAAACCCTAAACCCTAAACCCATAAAATCCTAAACCCTAAACCCCTACAAACCCTAAACCCCTAAAATCCTAAACCCTAAACCCCTATAAACCCTAAACCCTAAACCCTAAACCCCTAAACCCTAAAGCTCGGCACGCACCAGCCGTTTGTTGTTTTTTGGGGCCCTGGGCACTGAACCTTCAGCCCCAACCCTGCACCCTGATGAACCACCAGAAGCAACCAACTAAACCTTCATAAAGGGAACTCCAGAAAGTTGGAATATGGATTAATGGTAGGATCCCCTATAATTTACCTTAAAGGGGTTACGATAATGATATTCCAACTTTCTGGCTTCTACTGTAGACCTAGGATGCCCAGTAGTACCCTTATTCCTTTTTTGTAGTCCTAGATTCCTTATAAAGTTACCCAATACAAAAAAGAGAGGCCTTTTTATTCCTAGGTTACTGGGCATCCTAGTAGACTCATACCTGTATCCCCAAACCCTACAAAATAGTAGGTTATGACCTCTTAATTAGAGGGTCTGACCCGTAAAACGGTAGGTTTTTGGATCCACAGGATAGACGTTGTCAAATACACAGAAAAGCCCTGAACAGCCCGCTGCACCAGGATCTTCCACAGTGTGGACTTAGATGGCCGTGGAGCGACTCAGCTGCCGGTTAGCGTTTAGGGCTGAGGTGTTCGCTTTTGAAAGGCGTAAAATCCGGTTACTGACTGCCTGGACCCCCAAAGTATGTAGAATAATAGCTTTTTTATAGGTTTTGGGCCATTATTTTACCTACTTTTCAGGGTCTGAATAAACGCTGACTTTCCTTGAACTCTCACTTTGTTCTGCTCCAGGCTCAACCAGCCTTGTCTCAGAGCCTGGACCCAGACAACATTCAGTGGGTAGATCAATGTGGTGGGCTGGAGCCATGCCATGTCCCACCCTGGGTGGTTCTGGAAGTTGCATTCTCAAAACTACAGTAGAAGCCAGAAAGTTGGAATATCATTATCGTAACCCCTTTAAGGTAAATTATAGGGGATCCTACCATTAATCCATATTCCAACTTTCTTGAGTTTCCTTTATTGGCTCCTTTGAAATGCCCAGCCCCGCCGGCAGATTCCTCCAAATAGGGCTTGCGGAGGCGACCACCCAAAATCGGTTGGGGCGCCATCCCACAGGGTTTAGGTTTAGGGTTTAGGGCCTAGGGAGTGTGCACTTCGCTTGTTTCGACGAGGTGGCGTCGAAGGTGACAAGCTTCATCCCACCCCAAACCTCAACCCCCCAACTTTAAACCCTAAACAAGCCTAGACACCCGTGAAAGCCGAGCCGTGTCACTAAATTGAGTACAATCCTTGTCGTATACAGTCGAAGGGTCAAGGTCGCCATGCGCGTAAGACCAAACAGACCCCTTCATGTGATGCAGGCAGCTCTGCTTACATCTTAGCCCAAAGGGTCCTATGTACCGATGTAGTAGGATGTTGGGTCTCCATCTTAGGAATCACTATTATGCCTTAGGGAAGAATCCCCCAAAACAGTACATAGGACCCTTTGGGTAGGGAAGACAAGAATTCTGCAGGGAGCGATGGCCGCTCCCTAGCCTAGGGCCGTTTACGGTGCATGTGGTATTTGGGGTTCAGGATCTGGGATATATATATATATGCATGTGTATATATATATATATATATATATATATGATATTCATACTATTAAATATTGGGTTTAGGATATGAGGCTTATAAGGCCCGAGATACATGTACTGGTCCTTGCTGTGTCAAGGACAACCCCCATTACTAGCTTCAAAATGAATGCTTCGAAGCAAACGGTTCCTGGATAGATATACGTTTCTAGATCCTAAACCCAAAGAGCCTATGGACCTTGGCTGAACCACTACAACCTTAGACCCTGGGACCCCCCTGCCAATGTCCTCCAGTGTCATCCCTGCTCTGGTGACTTATACAGCCCTATAAATGACCCTGTATAATATAATAAACGTTCCGAATGACTGAGGTGATTGATTACACTGAGTTTGTGGCAGCTTGCTTGGATCACAAGGCTGCAGATTCTGCCTGTGAAATTAAGGGTACTACTTTTGTGTTTCATTTTGTAAGCGGGTTATGCCATTGGGTCGTGCATTCCACTACTGCGGTTTACATGGTATGGTGGGACCCATTAGCAGCACCCTGTAAAAATCGGGGTGGGAGTTTGGGATTTAAGGTGTGGGAAGTTAGGTTCTAGAGTTGCGGAACACAAGGTTAATGACCCTCTTCAAAGGAAGTAATTATATAAACCCCTCCTAAACCCTAAATAAGCGCCCCTCAAAGGAGCCTTATAAACCCCCGCACCCCCCCCCCCCCCGAGAGCGCGGCCAGGTGGAGCAAGAAGAGGGCATCTGTTGGGCCGCTTTTCAGGTCTTTGACAAGGACCTCTTGTCTTACCTTTGGCTAGTAGGGAATGGAGGAATGGTAGTAATTGCGAACGGACTGCGATGCCTTGTCAAGTTCTAAGGTGTCACTATAAGAGCTGTGAGCATGACCGTGTAAAGTGCAAGAGAAGGGGGCACGCTACGCGTCCCTCGACTCTAAGGGGGCACGCTACGCGTCCCTCGTCTTTACCTTTCTATGTGACCGCCCACGCAACGTTTGGCTCAAGTCAATGCCCATAGCTAAGTGCTATAAGTGTCTTCTATCCTGAGCAATCAGAGCTATCCCGTTGCACAGACGAACCGCCGCCGGCAGTGAGTGCAAAAGGAACGGCCGCCGGTTCTGCCTGCATAGGATTGCACGTGTGGAAGTGTGAGAGAGACAGGGTCCAGTCTGTGGAGAGTGCAAGCCAGCCACACCTACATTCATTACAGCTCTGGTGGGGAGAGCAGCAACCTAGTCGAGATCAATCCCCCACGCAGGTTATCAGCCGTACGCGGCTCTGCCTTTCTACAGCAACGACTACTTGATCTACTACGACCACAATGAACTCGGGATCAAGCCAAGATACGACAATGACTTTCGGTGCCGATGTGGCAGCGCCAGCCGTTGGTGAGTCAACAGCTGATGACACAGTGGTGCAATCCGTTGATAGCTCCACGGAAGATGACAAAGGTCAATCTTCTGCGCTTGCCATTGCAAAGGCAGTTCCCAAGGTGAAAGCAAAGAGTCTACCAAGAGCATCTACGCCTTCGCGTCCGACATCCACAGGTTCGAGGACGGGCAAGGCTCCAGAACGACGAGCCGAAGCGTCTGGTTTTCAGGCACCTCGGACTACGTCCAGGGCCAAGGACAAAGGAGTGAAGACCTTGGAAAAGAAGTCGAGACCATCATCTTCGAGAAGCTCTTCAGCACGATCAAGGACTTCGGCTACTCGTGGGCGTGACAAGTCCATGACTTGGAATCGGATGGTTACCAATCAACCACGCGATGCTGACGATCTGGATATGACTCTGGACACTATTCCAGCACGTGGTGATGCGTCATCGGTGACCACGCCAGCCATAGCCGATGGTCCGAATGCCTATCAGGAACTGACGATTTCGCAACAGCTCGAAGCATCGAACCTTGCGCAGCAGATGTACTATCGCAGTCAGATGCAAGAGTACGAAGGAGTTGTTCAGACCCTGATGGACAAGATCAAGGAGATGCAACAAGAAGATGAAGGATCTGGAATTCGCATTGAAGAATTGGAACGACAACGTGACCATGCATGCTTAGCCATGAGGCACATCAACAATGTCAATCAGGAGATGAAGCGAGACTATGAAACAGCTTTGTTTCGCATGGATGAACAGAACTCTGCTCAACAACGTCAAGCACATGCCGTTGCCGAGGAGTTAGCTCAGCAGCTACACGTGTTCCGCACGGAAGCAGCCACTAACTTTGTGCAGCTGGAGGCAAGAGCGCAAGGCGACGGTGAACTTATGGCACGTGAGTATGAGCGTCTGACTCATGAACTTCATGAACATGCCAGAGAGAACTTGTTCCTCCGGTCGAACACAGCAAGTTCGGAACAAGCCTTACAAGCAATGCAGGAACGATTCCAATTGGTCAAGAATCAGGAATTGCGGGCCGTGAACGAGATCCAAGGGCTAGCTGGGAACAGCGCGGCCATTGATCAAGAACGACTTCGGCTTCGCGAGCGTCTTGGTGAAGAGGAAGAGTACCGCAAAATGGCTGTGAGGAGGATGCAAGATGCAGAGGACCGACTTCATCAGAATGAAGATCATGCAAGGCGAGCATTGCCTACCTTGCACGACGAGCTGAGTGAACTCAGGAAAACACTCAAAGCACAAGAAGATCTTCAAGCGAGGACACGCAGCGAATTGGAGGCAGCGCGGAACTCCAACTATGGCGGAGCGACACGGCCTTCGAGCATGCCCATGTCTTCGAGGACTACTGAGTCTGGCTGGGAGCACGTAGGAAAGGAAGTAGTGCCTGCATTTTCCGTAGGAGGTGAGGTACGATCCCCTGAAATACGGTCCCCAAGTCAAGTTAGTCCAGTCGCCAAAGAGAAGTTCGCATTCTCGGAATCGGACAAGGACAAGAACCTTGTGATGGATGGAATTCCATTTACCGGTGGAAACTTCTTCACTGGCCGCAATTCAATGCCAATTGTGGCGGATGCAATGCCCGAGCACTACGTGCCAGGTATTAGCAACCCAGCACTTGCGCGTTCCACGCCTAGTGCAGCCACTCTGTTTGGCATACCAAGCGGATTTCATGGGAAAAGTGATGCGGCAGCCGTGCGTGATCGACAGCTACGCGAACTCTTGGAGGATCGCGGGATGTTGGGATCGAAGTCCACAGCATCTGCCAGCTCCTCAAGACCTGTTGGTGTCGACGGCATTACCGCATCTACGAAGGGCAACGACCTCATTGGTCCCCCTGTTGCCTATGACGATTCCATCCATGAAGCAAGGAGACGTCAGATCGAGAAAGAGGTCGCGGAACGGTACGAAGAGAAGATTGCCGATCTGCGAAGCGAAGTACTCAAAGCCCAGAAAGCCGAACAGCGTCTCAGAGCTGATCGTGATGAGTGGAGATTATTCGCTGAAACGATTCAGGAAGATAATGGAGACGATGACGGTGACGAAGCTGGCGACGAGAACGAAGAGGGAGAGCATGATGACGGAACCGGCACGGGGTATGACCCTCCAGATCCGCCTGATGATGACGATGATGATAAGAAGAGAAGCGGTGGAGGCAAACCTGAATCGGATCCTGGCTCTCATGCGCGTGATCCTGATGGAGACGCAGATCCTGAAGTCACGGAGGTGAGAATTTCCAGGAGGGAGGCCGACAAAGTGACCGTTCCTCCATGGCCTACTCTCACTCATCTCAACAACTGGCGATCCGTATGCACGGCGAATGTCTTAGGAGCATCAGCCGACCCAAATCATGAGGACTGGATGTTATGGCTGGCACCAGCGTTCAACCCATTCCCTGATGTCGAAGCACTGAACGATTCAGGACACAAGAAGTTCAAGAGCGTAGACGTCAAATTGGGGATCGCCATGGTCGCAATGCTACGCGCTGGTGGTGACAAATCTGCTGATCTGTACCTGGAGGTGAACCGGAAGGCCAACGATTACATCAGCAGGCCCGAAGGGAAGATCATCAAAGGACGACAAATCATTGCGATGATGTATGAAAGTTTTCGAACGCACGATCGTCTCGACATGATCATCACCCTCGAGTATCTGGTGAAGCTCCAGTACCAAGGCGACAACAAACTTCATACGTTCAAGCAGACGTGGTTGGAAGTTCTGGGACGGATGAGGCCAGAAGACATACCATCCAAAACAGCTCTCCGTGATTGCTTGTACAGCAAGATCAAGGACTCGCCCGCAATGAAGATGGAGTTGGGCATGCACTACGAACACTTGCCCTACAATCATGAAGACCGATCGTACGACAATCTGATGAAGATCATCGACCGTACCATCATGCGGAGACGAGAACAATCAAATCTCACTCAGACCCAAATTGGCTTGCGCCAGATGCTTGAGGGCAAGGATTTGCTTGCTGCACCGGCCAAGGTACCTGAGAAACCAACGCCTAACGCAGCTCCATCCGCAAAGGTCAAGGCTTCGCCGACCAAGCCGGATAAAGCAACACCTGTACTACCTCAAAGCAAAGCGAAGAGTCATGCGAAGACCAAGCCAAAGCCCAAGAAGAAGACGAGGAGTGAGTCAGCGGACAACAGAGGCGACAAGAGCAAGAAGCAAATCCGCTGCAAGTTCCATTTCACAGATGCAGGGTGTCGAAATGGTGACAAGTGCCCATTCAGTCACTCGAAGAAGACTCCAGAGCGACCCTTTACGCCGAGGACGAGAACTCCAAGTCCGTCTGGAGGAGGAGGAAATAGGATATGCTACTCGTTCAAGAACACAGGCTCGTGCTCAAGAGAGAATTGTCCTTTCAAGCATGAGGCAGCAGCTACCCCAGCTCCGGAACCAAAGGCAAAAGCTAAAGCCAAATCCGAAGCAAAGGCAGCTCCAGCGAAGCCGAATGCCAAGGCCAAGGCGCTCCCTGCGGCACCCGCCATCAGATTGTGCCGAAGGTGGAATCCATCAGCCCCGGCTATATGGAAGCGATCTTCAAGACAAGATGAGGAGGAGTCAGATTGTCCATCCGTTGACAGCGACGCTGATTCGGATTGTTCAACAGACGACGAATCCTCGGGACCGACTACGTCGACCCGAAAAGAGATCAAGCGTAATGTGACATTCGCCGATGACGTGAAGTTCATTTCTTCGTGTCCTAGAAGATCGAAGAAGGACAAAGAGCGGAAGGTGAAGTACGTCGACATGGAAGCGCTTGTCAACGATGAGGATCGCGCCGTGAATTTGGAATTCGCCAAGCACAAATCGAGATTGAGGGCACAGATCATGAGAGACATGGTTGACGACGATGATGATCAATGCGGAGATCGAGTTTCATTCGTACGAATCCCAGGAACGTCTCGGGTGGAGGAAGTCTCCTTCTACGACGGTGAGGATTCCATCGTTGAGCGTGAACTCGATGCTGCGCACAGCAAACGGATCATCAATCAAGGTGTATGCAAATGCATGGTTCAACCAGTCATCCTCAAGAAGAAGATCAAGTTTCTCATGGACACTGGGTGTGGCCACGACCTCATATCTCAGAAGAAGATCGAGAAGCACAGTCTCGAGACACTCGTGACTCCAGAGCCCATATCATTTCAGACAGCAAATGGAATCACCGATACCGATCTCGTGTCGAACTTCCAGACTGAGTCGTTCGAGGAACCGATCAACGCTTATGTGTTGGACGACACACCGTCGGTGCTTTCCATAGGCAAGAGATGCATGAACTTCAACTACGGGTTTGTGTGGCCACCCGGAAGGGAACCATTCATGATCAACCCGCAGGGCAAGAGGATATCTCTGTTCGTGAACGGTGACATCCCG